AGCACGCCGCCGTCGGCCAAAGCTTTTGAATCCGATGACGACTTTCATCTTCGACTATCGTATGACAGCAATTGTGTCGCTCGTAAAACGCAGGTTCATTCAAAACACCATCTCGCCACATGCTTCAAATACTGCCAAAGGGGACCCAGAAAGAATACTTGTCGCTTTGGCATGCCTCGAGATCTGGTTCCTGTCTCTAAGATCGATGAGTGTGGACTGATTCACCTCGCTCGGAACCATGCCTGGATAAACCCATGGAATCCCGCTATTGCTAGTTGTGTCCGTTCTAATCACGACATCTCTTGGATTCCAACAGTCTCAAAGACTTTGTCACTGATCTATTACATCACCAACTACGCCACGAAAGATGACGTCTCTCCATGGCAGATAGTGGCTAAGGCGGCCTTGTTGAAGCAGTCTATTGAGAAGGCAAAGGTTGCTGAGCCACCAACAGCGACAGACCTCCGACTTCGAGAAAAGGGTGTCAATAATTTTGCACTCCGCTGCTTTAATGCGCTCTCTCATGACCGAGAAATCAGTGGTGTGCAGGTTGCCAGCGTCTTACTTCAACTGCCAACCTATTACACGATCAACTACAACTTCATCCGAATCAACCTCTGGTGGCTAAGGCGCTATATCCGGGCGATTATTCTGCCAGATCCCCATCAAAGCAGTCCATCTTCTGATCCTGTCGCAGAAGAACCTTGCACCTACGAAACTGGCGACACCGCCCCCGTAAGCATCTTTGACAATTATAAATGGCGTGGGCCGCTCTTGGCTTCTCTCGCATTATTCGAATACTGCATGCTTATCAAGATAAAGCATGTAGGCGCTGCTATTTCTGACGACGTGGACTTCGACCCAAAGCACCCGAGATATGCCACGCACGTACAGCGCCTAGCGCGTACTCCATCCCAACTGGCCACCGTGACTTTTAGTGGACAGCTAACCGAATTCCAGGCTGCAGAAGACGCGGTCGCAGGAGGTCATCCAAAAACAACTGCTATAATGAACGACGTGTCAGAGATATTATTGGGGCTCTTTGTTCCATGGGATCAATTGAGTAACCTCTTCCGGCGGTATGCGACAAGGATGGACGCTTATGTTACAATATGGGCGGCTGTTGAACCATCCCTCGCATTTCACAACAGAGCTTTTGCAAGAAATATCGAATTACTGCGAAAGTCCAAGGAAGACTGCCAGGCTGATGCAAATATGTGGAAGTCTGCAAACGGCGCTGCTGACTCGCTTCATGATGCTAAAGAGGATGGGCCTGCAAATTTTGATTCTGACAGCGAAGAGACCGAAGAATTGTTCCACATACAGGATGAGAATTTCAATGCGGAGACATTAATCGCTGCCTACCACTCCATCGCCAAAGCGTGGTATCAAGAGACGTTAATCACTGGCCGGCGGATCCCTCCCTTGTTCCGCGCAATAGAACGAACGCGAAGCTTGTCACTACAGACGCTCCAGCCGCTCGATATTTTCAACACTCCTGCATATGAATCTTCTGGGTTGAGGTTCCTCCCACTATATACTTTGCAAAGGTGGGAGTTTGAACTTAGATGTCGCGTCAATCCTAGCCCTGAAGAGAGCACGGATGATAATGCTAGGACTTTTGGCTTTGCATTTGACGACTTTGATATCCACATTGAAGATGGCATCCTCCATCCTTTGCTAGCTAACGCAGACACTATCCCTGCTACGGATGATCTCCAATCTCGAGTAGGCCAGAATCCTACTGGTTCCTCTCTTGCGTCCCTGATCAACCAAGAGATCCCCCTAAATCGGAAACAACGGATGGCAGTGGAGAGGGTGCTGTGTGAAGCTTTAGCCTGGGTGGACCACCCTTATGATTCGTCGCTGCGCAAGCAAACTCTCCTCTATATTGGAGGAGAAGGCGGCACGGGTAAGAGCCAGATTGTCAAGGCAATTGTCGCTGGGATGAACCTTATCGGACGAAAAGACGAAGTGGTCCTTATGGCGCCGACGGGTGCGGCCGCTGATAACATCGGCGGTAATACGTACCATACATCTTTGGGGATTTCTATCGACCGTTCGCGTGAAACCGGAATGAGATCCAGAGTGAGACGGCTTTGGTCTCGGAAGACTATCATGATTGTGGACGAAGTCAGCATGATGGATCTACGCATGATCAGCGTGATTGATAATCAATGCAAGATCGTCAAATCCCTTGACAGATCCTCCCCTGATCTTTTCGGTGGCCTTCCTGTTGTCATCTTTATTGGTGACTTTTTCCAGTTTCCACCTGTTCTGGGCCCGGCACTGTGGAGGGAACCAAGAAGAGGTATAAATGAGGATGAAAACGGTCGGCTACTATGGCATCAGTTCAAAGAGGTAATCATTCTGGATGAGCAAATGAGGCAGGAAGGAGAAGATATTGTATTCCGCGATCTGGTATCACGAGCTAGGACAGGGGGTTTAACGGAAACCGATCGATCGTTTCTTAACAGCAAAACCGTCACGTCCCTAGTCAGCCCTCAACTTGAAAATGTCACCACCGTAGTTAAGTTGAACTCTCTGCGGCATCAGGTGAACCGCGTTCGATTAACAGAGTTTGCCCGGACCCGATGCCAGAACATCTATATCTTCCCGGCGCTTCATAAGCGTACCAAGTCCACTGGCCCAACGAACCTACGACTCCATGCAGACGACTTGCTCCAGCAACCGGACCAAGGCACCAAGATCCCTTTCCCAGGCCTCTTCCTATACACCCAGAACATGCCAGCCGTCATACTGACCAATATCTGTACCCCTCTGGGCCTAGTTAATGGGGCATCAGGGGCTGCAATAGGCATCGTGGTCGATCCCACAGGTGGGTTCATCTTTCCTTATAAACAATGAGGTACATAACCACCTCACACCTCACCACTAGCTGAATTCTTTCAAGTCGACGACCTCTATATCATGTGCACTAAACCACCGTCTTGCGTTATATTTAAACCGAACAGATCGAAGGCAACCGTATTTCAAGACCTTGAACCTTCAGCAATGCCAATATTTTCATTAGAACGATCTATCACCATAAAAAGCCATTCAGTCAGAAGGAAGCAGGTTCCTATGTGCCCAGCCTTCTGCCTCACCGACTACAAAGTGCAAGGCTCGACACTTTCAGCTGCGATCCTCGACCTCAAAGATGACCCCACCATGCGGGGACAAGATCATCACCGAAAATATTGCTCGATGTATGTACAGCTATCCCGCCTTCGATCCTCTGATGGACTTCATCTCCTGCAGAAACTCGATATGCATGACCTCCGATTCGGACCCGATCCTCGGCTACTAACTGAAATGGAAAGACTTCAAGAACGCGAAAAAGAGACAATTACTGCTTGGCAGGAAACTGCTAACATATAACGGTATTCTCCATCAATAGAATTTCATATATTCTGCGATGACTGGCTTCCTTGCTTTAACTTCATTAGATTTTTGCCTGCAAATTCTGATCACTCGCATACTTCGGAAAACTGCATGACCCAGGGTAGTCTTTAGAGTTATGTACGGGCTTGGATAGAATTTCAAACTTTATGGCTTAAATCGCTCCTATCGGATTCAGGTTGTTGTTTTCCGCAACTGTAACCAAGCTATACGACCTGTCTAGCCATAGCTGTCACTAATCCCGCTATACCCGACGTCGTTTATTATTACCTCTTGAAGGAGAAAAGCTAGCTTCGTATCACATACATTAACAGTCCATATGTGCTAGCTTCCCTAACAATCTTCTCTTGTAGGGGTAAGATTAGTAATTCCTCTAGTAATGATCCCTCGTATATATAATATTTAAATACTTCTTGAAGTCCTTGTGCGCGTGTGATTTGTTGTAGTGGTTAAATTAATTAACACAACACCGTCGACATCATGACTCCCTTCCACTTACGCGTCTTAAACCCATTTCAGTCGAGTAAAGTTTACTACTTGTGCATTACTACCCAAATAAGGCTAACTTAAAGCTTACACAGTCACTAAATATGTCAGTACTACCTTTCTCGCCTTGCCACTCATACTATGACAACGGCCCTGCGCTTCTTCTTCACATACTTTTCTTGTCTAGTATATATAATCCGAGAAGATAATACTAAAATACTATAGTCCTGCCACTTCTCCAGAAGCTTGTATTAAATTGATGTCCTACGTCGTGCTCTCGACACGTATAGTTCCTCTATCCATGAACGTCTTGTATTGAACCTCCGCATTGCCCACAAATCTTTAGTTCTCGCTGACACCGTCTGCGTTTAATTCATCGTCCTCATGCCATCTCAGATTAACTCCCCAGCTATTCTCCACTTAAGAGACTTCATAGACAGCGTGGGACCTGACCCGTCTCGACCAGAGCAGGGGCTTGCTCTACAAATTGAGGTGTCTTTACATCTTCCGTTTCAAACGAATCTCTACTCGGACGATGTTGAATTGAACGAGCTTCCGGCTACTATACATTTCTTCGCCTCGTCGAGTAACCCTCAATCCTACGAACCCAACAAATTCATCTATGCTTGGGGCTCATTCTTAGCTTATGTCAACCCAGATGGGGCTCTACATCTGATTTTACACGCCCATGAAGTTGACTGGTAAGATACAAATCATAGAGCCACGCTTATTTCCTCACCGCTGAAGACTTCCTTAGCCACCCGGGCGATCACTCCGAATCTCATACGTACAATATGCACTGCCCAGAGGCTGCTCTCCCTACAGTTAGTTTACTGGGAATAGTCCGAAGTGGAGGGGGACAGTTAAACAACGGATCTACTCTGTTGCATTACGACCTCGAGACTAATGTCTACGACCTCTCCAACAAGGCGACTGTGACATTTACAGTTTCCGTTTACTTCAGGAACGGAAACCGTTGGGCAAAATTTCCTGTTCTTTCCAGGCAATCCCGCATATTTATCACGGGGAGAATTTTCGGTATCACTACCAACACGCCTCAGCTCGCAATTGGTGTGGATGACGTTTATTTTATTCCCAATCTCAGCTCCATTATGACAGCTCCAGCAACTCCTACCTCGTCGGTGGGAAAGCAGAAACAAGCAGATAGATGGAACAGACGTGCCAACCCAACAACTCCCATAAAGAGACCTCGGACGCTGACATCCAGCTCTGATTCTCAACCACAAGACGACGATATGCAGACCAGTGTCTCTAGTGAGGCTCTCATTCAAATAGAGTCTGAACTTTATGATGAATCCATCGAGAAGGATACAACTGCTGACCAACTGACTCGCCTGGAAGACGGTTCGGCGGCTGACACAATCCTCCCGGGCCGTCGACCCAAGAGAAGTCGTAAATTCTCAAAATTGGATTCACCTTTATGATCTTATGTCGTGTCAACTGCCAGACTGTCTATGGTCGGTTTTTATCTTGTATTTTACGTTGTTTCCATTGTAGCCGCAGTCAAAATATCCAGTGATAATCATAACTTATCTTCTTTCATTTTGAGTTTAGGGATATATTTTTCTCCATCCACACTTGTCCAATCATTACACCTAATGCCGCACGATAAATTGGCTGGTCCTAGCGTACTTACGTGTGTACCTTTTCGGTACCTTATCACAACTAAACGTTCAACTTCCACGTCATCACGCAACTACGCTTCACTTTTTATTTCTTTTTCGTTTCAGGGCCACAGCGTGCGACAGCGCGCGTCACCAGTACAATACGGTCTAACAGGGATTGCTAGGGAATGGCTAAAATTAGACTAGCGTGTTTCAAGCCAGGGTTCGTGAATGGAAGCCGAAGAGTGTAGAGGTAAATCTGATTTTGAATACTACTGTACACCCATGGGGCTGGCGACGACTCTCACCTCCCCGTGGTGCCGGCTGGGAACCTGTGAATGCCTTGCCTGGGATGTATTCGCAGAGCTAAGAAGAGTCACCACTGGCCAGCACTGTCCGCTGGCTAGGGCTACGGCGGGAGCGAGAGCTCAGGGGTCAGGGGCCCTGACCCCACGCACAGGCGACAAGGGAACACTTTGAAAACCACCCGACACACGACTGCGAAACCGATCCTACAATCAGTGGACACTAGGGTCGTAGGATAGGACACCCTTGGGGTGCTCTCGGGCTGCTCTGTTGAAAGGAGGGTATTATCGCTGGGTCTGAGGATACACAAACGACAGAGTCAAAAGCAAAACCACGAACGACACGGCACGACCCAGCATGCTTAAATCCACACAGAGAACGACGAGGTACTTCGGCTAGTAGGAGGTACAACACTGTGTTGCTTGGCTGTTCTGGGTACAGAGAGGATGCAACTGGACAAACTCATGCGAGACACGATCGGCCTTGTCAGAGAGATCTTACAAGGTAGCGCGAAATGGATTTGACAATCCGTGGGGCGCAGCATATAATGGAAGCGACGGAAGACTGGGTGGGCGGACTGCAGATACGACACTTTCTATATGGCTCGAGAGGACGGACGCGCGTGTCGGTCTACTGAGAGAATAGGATTTTGAAGATGGCTATCGAGGATGGAGTCTTCAAGGCCGCTATGGAAGTAGGCTTAAGGTGCAAACTGGTATTGACTTGCGGAACTGGCTGTGCCCCGTGAAGGATGCGGATGAGGATCGAAGGGGATGCAAGGTAGAGGGTCTATGTAGGTAGACATGCTGCCACCTCTACAATGTAACGTAATTCACTACCGAGCGGCCACCACCACCGAGTGGCCATCTCCAAAACACATAGTAAACGCGATTGATTACAACATGATATTTCAACCAACGGTAGTCTATATGGTGTTTTTCTAATAGCTTAATGCTTTTTGGTTGACATCCAGCTTCTCTAGGGAGTTTGGAAAATATTTGTGACTTCGTGATTGCGTTATATATATTTCTGGCTTTGAGCAACGTAATTTTCAATACCATGATATTGTAGCATTTTGGTGTTCTTAAAATTCATATATAGGATTAAAAATCCTTATCAACAGCTATATAACGAGAGTGAAATCACACAATAACGCGGTTGTTGAAATATATGGTTGTAAAATATTGCATTTACTATGTGTTTTGGGGATCGCTCGGTAATGAATTACGTTATAGCTTTTCTTAATATTGATTATTCATCCGGAAGACGCTGTCCTCATCTACGTATACGTGAGACCCTCACAATCGTTCCTGGGCTCTCTACCTTGGATCCTGGAGCCACACCTGTCCGTTCACGGGGCCTTATCGTTCTTTGGGAACTGTGGTTACGCTTCCGAATGCACATGGGTCGTGCGGTGGAACTCTACAGGGGCAAGATGATCCAAGAACCACTACAGTATGAATTCCGTAAACTACTAAGAGGTGGGCGAGGGCTAAAGCAGAGAAACTCCCTCTAACGTGGTACAGTACAGTCGGATGGATGGATGGATGATTTCATTTACGCTGACCCCTCGCTAAGTTGATTTCCCAACTATACCAAAATACGAATCCGTACCCAGCCTAGTGGGTTATGGTTTAGAATCCAACTTAGCGAGGGGTCAGCGTAAATGAAATCATCCATCCATCCATCCGGCTGTAGATCATTGATTCTTCAACATAACAACTAGAATATGAGGACCTGTGAGAATGACGCCGAAAATGTCCACTCCGGTTAGAATCAAATGAAGTAGATTTAAAGGATTTTGAACCTCATCTAATCGACGAATTCCCACCATAAGCTCACTTAGGGGAGACTGGACTTGGTGTTGGACCAGTTATTCACTAATTAAATAACTTTCTTGACTCTGTCGTGAAGGAAGATGAAATAATTTCTAGGCTTACATTGTGGATCGTTTCAGGGTTTATACGCCATTACCTTTTACAATATTTCTTCAATCGAAGCCTGTGTTCTTTTTCGCTTGCTTAGAATCAAGCGCAGTTGACAAAGAAGCCGAGAAGAGTACATTAAAAGGATGGAACTGAGGATCTCGCCCTTGGCTGTTAAAATCTATTTTGTCCCACGCAATCCGAATGTTATGCTGTTCCTGTCGCGCGATGATTTCCTTCAGTGAGACGTGCCACTAGATGCTGCGGACTTTTCTTTGTATCTCCTTCCTCCTTGCGTGGCAGGAGTTGCTCCGTGTGGTATGACCATCTTTGCACACTGTGCAACGGGGTGTGAAGCCCGTCACTCCCTTCTGCTTGCGCTGTATCGTCTCATGTTGAACATCAGGATTTCCGAGCCACGTCAAGCCACAGCCATGCGCCACAGCAATCGAGGCGCTCACCTATCGCTTTTCCGACAGTGGCTCTGTCTGGAGGATCAAAAACTTCTGAGCCCACAGGGCTTCTTCGCTCGGTCGCTTAAAACAGTAGAGCCCGACCGCTTTCGAGACGATGCATCGGGGATCCTCTGTTGGAGGAGTTGCGCAGTATCATCGTGGCCATTTTCTAACGCAGCCTTGAAAAGGTTGCCGGAGGGGCCGCCTTGGATATTGGCGTTAGCTCCCTTGTCTAGCAGTAGTTGCGCAATTTCTTCGTGGCCGCGTGCAGAGGCACCCTGGAGGGCGTTATCGTAGAAGCCGCCCTGAGCGTTGACATCGGCTCCCTTATCTAGCAGTAGTCGCACAATCTCTTGTTGACCTCGGTATGACGCAGCGGATAGAGCATTACCATGGTGGCCCCCCTGAGCATTCACATCGGCTCCTTTATCTAGCAGCAGTTGCACAATGTCTTCGTGGCCTTCAGATGACGCAGCGTATAGAGCATTATCGTACTTGCCGCACTGAGCGTTGACGTCGGCTTCCTTGTCTAGCAGCAGTCGCACAATCTCTTTATAGCCTGTATATGACGCAGCCTGGAGAGGATTGTACCTGCCGCCCTGAGCGTCAACATCGGCCCCTTTGTCTAGCAGCAGTCGCACAATCTCTAGGTGTCCTTTCCATGACGCAGCGGATAGACCACTACCATAGTGCCCCCCTGAGCATTCACATCGGCTTCCTTATCTAGCAGGAGTCGTACAATCTCTTGTTGACCTCGGTATGACGCAGCGGATAGAGCATTACCATGGTGGCCCCCCTGAGCATTCACATCGGCTCCTTTATCTAGCAGCAGTTGCACAATCTCTTGTTGACCATAGTATGACGCAGCGGATAGAGCATTACCAAAGTGGCCGCCCTGAGCATTCACATCGGCTCCTTTGTCTAGCAGCAGTTGCACAATCTCTTTGTAGCTTTGGCATGACGCAGCCTGGAGAGAGTTCATACAAAAGCCGCCCTGCGCGTGAACATCGGCTCCATTATCTAGTAGTAGTTGTACGGTTGTTTGGTTGCCTCCCTGTAAAGCAGCTTGGAAAGCGGTACCGTGCCAGCCGCTCTGAGCGTTGATGTCGGCTCCCTTATCTAGTAGCAGTCGCACAATCTCTGAGTGGCCTTGGCCTGACGCAGCGGATAGAGCATTACCATAGTGCCCCCCTGAGCATTCACATCGGCTCCCTTATCTAGTAGCAGTCGCACAATCTCTGAGTGGCTTCGGTATGACGCAGCGGATAGAGCATTACCATAGATGCTGCTCTGGGCGTTAACGTCAGCTCCTTTGTCTAGCAGCAGCTGTATAATCTCTTCGTGACCGTTATCTGAGGCACCATAGAGAGCTTTACCGCCGTAGTCGCCTAGAGAGTTAATGTCGGCTCCTTTCTCTAGTAGTAGTCGCACAATTTCTTGGTGGCCTTGGCAGGACGCAGCGGATAGAGCATTGCCATGTCTACCGCCCTGAGAGTTAACGTCAGCTCCTTTGTCTAGCAGCAGTTGCACAATCTCCTCGTGACCGCTATCTGCGGCAGTACAAAGAGCGCTGCCATAGGAGGTACTCCAAGCATTAATATTGGCTCCGTTACCTAGGAGGTATTGCACAATCCTGTTGTAACCGAATAGCGAGGCACCCTGGAGAGCGTTATCGTAGTAGCCGCCCTGAGCGTTGACATCGGCTCCCTTATCTAGCAGTAGTCGCACAATCTCTTCGTGGCCGTTTACAGAGGCACCCTGGAGAGCGTTACCGTAGTAGCCGCCCTGAGTATTGACATCCGCTCCCTTGTCTAGCAGCAGTCGCACAATCTCTTTATAGCCTTTGTATGACGCAGCCTGGAGAGGGTTGTCGTATTCACCACCTTGGGCGTTGACGTCAGCTCCCTTGTGGAGAATTTCCATCAGGGTCACTCTCAGTCCGCCCAGGCAAGCATAGTAGAGTCTGGATCCTCGCGGAGCGCCGGGTCTATCCTTATCTGGCATGTCAGCCTGGTATAGCCGACACCATCGCTGGAAGGTCGTCTCGTCTTGAAGGAATTTGGCTGTTCGTGCAACAATTTTATCTGATATCTCAGAAGAAGCAGCATGGTCCATCCAGACCTCAGCGGCATATCGTGCCATCGGATATTCCCGCCTAATCTCGCTGTTGTTGCCTTTGATGTCTGTAAGGTAAGTCAAACATGTCATCGTGATGACTATGCTGACCCTTGAGCGGTCAAACTTGTCTTGGCATGCAAGAAACTCCCTGACTGAGAAGTGGGCAAGGTGGAGCTCCTTTCTCGTCTTGCGGCGGTATTCTTTGACATGAACGATTGAAACCAAGCTAGGACAGTGCTGCAGAACTTCGGCGTCGCCAAATACTCTCCCTTCTGTGTCAAAACGTGGCAGGTCCTCCCCAACCTCAGTAGCAATTATCTCCACTGCCTCCGGTAGCGTCAAAGGCCGCTTAGTATAGACGAGAAATTGTAAGAGACGTATGGCATTACTCTTGAGATCTTCTGGTATGTTCTCCAACATCCGGTCGTACGTCTCATACAGGCCTCGAGGTAACTGCTCGAGAGCGGTTTTGATGGCCTTGGGACTTGGGCATCTGGCAAGGCTGTCTAATTGACATGCTGCCCATCTGAACCTTGTTGGATGTTAGGTAGGGCTTTGCACTATATCCGACTCGGGACAAACTTACATCCCCTCGGCCTCGTCTCCGACTTTGTTGCGAAGATGTTGGACGAGATCCTTAGATAGTTTCTTCTTTATAAACTGGGGGTCCTGTTCAAGCCTTGCTATGATATAGGAGCATATGTCGGCGTTGACAGCTTTCTTGTCGAGCTCCAAGCAGCTATGTTCGCCAATCAAGGGGGGAATATCATGGAGAAATTCAGATTCTGGCCGCCCAGTGCAAAGCAGCTGGACGTGGCCAAACTCTGGTCTAGACACTACATCCTTAACCCACAAGAAGAGTTCACTTCTCGTTGTCGATTCGTCCAAAGCGTCTATAACGATAGAGGTCTTTTTCTGGCCTGTAAGTATCTTGCATATAACTTCCCAGAGGGCCTTCGTTGTAGGTTGGTCCCGACCATCCTGGTGCGCTTGGAATAAACTATTAAGGTGTACTGTAGATTCAACCCGCCCCTGGTAAAGTTGAAAAGCAAATGACCGTAGCATGCTATCAACGGTCTGCTTTTTTGTGTCGTTAAAGTGAAAGAAGAAGCTGAGGATAACTTGGTCGTCCCCCTTCGCGAGATAATCTAGAACTGTCGCGCTGAGAACAGTCTTACCACATCCCGCGAGCCCACGTAGCCATAAGTGTCGACGTGACCCGGAATTCCATGCCTGAAAAACTGGACTTTCTAGAAGCCACGTGCCTGTTCCCTCATGGCGGAGCTTTCTCGCGTGGTTGGCGTTTGTAGACGGATCCGGGGGAGAGAGCCAGCTGTGTATCTTATCAGCTCGAAAGTCAGATTTGATGGAATCAGTTATAGTGTTCGTTGTAAGAGTATTTTGTTGTATCTCATCTACTTTCTGTTCAACTAACTATAGTTAGCGAATGCTTAATACTAGTACTGACTGACTTCACTCATTTGCCTTTTAGAGCCTATGGCCACTAGACGGTAGGAAGTACTAACCAGACTGGAGAATGTCGAGTACTTTCTTTGCCTCTTGGACCTCCGCAGCTGGCACATAGGTGAGGAACTCCCTAGCATAGGCAGCGGCGGTGGCAGCAGCGTAGCGTTGCCAGCGATCATTCTTGTGAGAATCGGCGTAGTCGCAGATACCTCGTATGATAAGACAAGGGAAGTGGTTCATTAGGCCGGCGGCTTCCATCTCAAAACAGATACAATCCTCCCCGATATCGGCGACAATTCGGTCGCGGGTAGCGGCGTCTTTAATAAGTGTGTTACCGGATGCGATAGTGCCGTAGTGGATCTCGGGATCGATAGTGTCTCGCGGATCGCGTTGAACTTCTTCGGCTACGTCACAGCCGCTACAGTCTAGACCGGAGACGTGTTCGTATGACGCCTTAAAGAGGCGGTCGTTTCCGACTCCCTGGTGAATGTAGCCAGGGTTTTGCTTAGATCTCTTGGCCATCTTCGGAGTGTTCTCCAGCATCTTTTGTAGGAGATCAGGAACTCTAGACTCGTCTAGCTCGTGATAGGCCTGAATACTAGAAAGGGCCTTGAGGAGAACGGTAGGGGGGTTCCTAGGAAGCCTTTTCTTTCAAGATTGTTACCGGACTTCGCCTTAACCAAGTCATACTGGCACACTCCGCCCGTGGCTCCATCAGGCTGGCTCACGACAACATCGCCGAGACGGATGTCGCGGTTCTCGGCTGGCCGAGCGATACCGCCTCCGATTCCAACCAGAAGACCGATTCGGATGGAAGGCAGGGAGGCAAGAAGGCTCGAGGCGGTGGTAGCGGCCGAGGTGGTTCCGTAAACGCCGGCTGCAAGAGAGGCAATGACAATATTGTGCTCTCCCATCCGGCCCCAAGTGTAGACGTTCTTGTCGTTTGGATGTCTCGCAAAACCAGTTGGTTCTACGTGTTTCTCTTCGAGCATGGCAACTGCAGCGGCTCGTTCGATGAACAGGGCAGCGATCCAACCAACGGTGTAGGAGTCGGGGCTGTTAAGTTCCCTGTGACACGTCATGATGTGAAGTGAACAGCACAGAGACGATTAACTTGAGGGAAATGCGATCAAGGCCCGCGGGCGCAAAGAATACGTTTTTGGGTGCAGTCTGCTGACTACCAACGAGAAAGCCTAATGCTGGGACGTGATATTAGAGGCGCAGGCTTCATAGCATATTTTGGTTCTTTTCATCGGGCACGGATGATTCAGCCTCGGCAAGGATCATGTCGCAGCTGTATGATTGGGGGAGGATTATGCCAAGACAACCGCCTGTTAAAAATAGGGCAAACGTGGAAGCACGAGGACGAACTAGGGGCCAACCCCTAAACGGTAACGGATTCTCGGCCGTCAAATCTTTTATCGCATCGTAGGAATATGGCTCCTGATGAAGTGCTGCGGATTATGCCTAAGGGGCCATTTTCGGACAGAGACAGCATAGACTCGTCTTGCTGACCACCATCTCCAACAAGTTGCCCGGGTATATGCATACGTGGCAGGGCGTTATTTGAGTGGCCTCATTCCATCTCCAACGAGTCGTCACTCCCAGGCACCTCAGGCATGCCGACCGCTCGCTTTCGCACGAATCAACCAGTGATATAGTACGAAATAGAACGCCACTGGAAGCGCCAAGGAGGCTGAAGTAAGCGACACTTCTGACAAAGGGATGATCTCGTCACCATGGGGGGTTGAGTCCCTGATCGCAGTGCTTCTTAAGAGCCGTGATATTTCAACATGTCGCACCCACTTATTTCCAACTACAGTACCTAACCCTCAACTATACCATACCTTATTCCTCTGCAAGAAAGCAAAATGCCGACATTGAAACCATATGGCCCCCTGACGAAGAAAGAAACTTTGAAACAAGACCAGCTCCAGAAAAAAATAACAAGGCAGTGGCAAGGAAGACGGCGACGGCGGAGAAGGCAGTGGCGAGAAAGACGGCGGCGAAGACCAAGACTAAGAAAGCTTGAGTCTAGGGCCTAGGGCTCGAAAGCATAAGGTACAGTCGCTCCCTAAGAAGCCAACCTTGTTCTTACTTTATTCCTTATGAATCAGACTTGAGGTACGAGGATGGCCAGGGCAAGCTACCCTCCAGCCGTGATCTGACAACCAGCACACAAAGTATCGTGCCAGTCTATGCTCACCTCTCACCTCTTTTCCCACCTGCTTTACCTTGCACTTCCCACTAGTCGACAATCCTATTGACCTCACAAGCTGTACGTAACTACATGAGTCCTTTTCAGCTGCCGGGGCCTCCCTGCACACAAGTCCTGCGAAGATGTTAGTCATATGATAAGCGAGTGCAAAACCTGGTGTACTTTATACCTTCAATCGCGATTTTTATAAAAATTATTACAAATCGAAATCGAGCCTAAAATAGCTGAAATTCAGTACATAGTGTCAAATACCGAGTCCCAATACTTGGATACGGGGTAATTTACCCGGAATATCCTCTGGACCGTAGGGATAACAGACACTGTAACTGCCTATTTTGGTCTAGTGGCACTCTCAGCGAGACTAAGAGATAAGCTAATCACATTTTGACATTCCCAGTTCTCTAGCTCATACTATCTATGTCTGCATGGTTCTTTACCATGACCGGATTCCACAAATTCTTTAACTGAGATGAAGCTGGAGGTTGCATTCATCTATCAAACCAAGTTCGATGACGTTCGCAGGATCTATCCGCACAGTAGGAAAAATTTCGAGAGAATCAGACATTCATGTTGATACTTCGTTCATTGTATACAATACTAGTGAACCACAGGAGGAGGATTGTAAGTTCAAATTCTCCGGTGTCGCCCCAGGGCTTCGAATGGAGCGGAGGTGGTCCTTGCGAGCAGGTTGAAATAATTTATTGTCAGAGACCTGGGCCCAAGACATTAGTCCCGATCTTCAAACAGGCCTTGTCGATGAATATTCCAACGAGGGAGTTCCAAGCGATGGTTAGATTTACTTGAAAGTTTGACAATATCGAAATGAAGCAAATGCATACTTCGAGAATCGATGGTTGGCGCGGCTGTTAGACAATAAAGCTAGGCGGCTTCGCGGACTTGAGTCTCATCCGAGCGTCCGAGCTGCTTTTGACTCGTTACTCGTCTTGCCCTCCTTGGTGATATATAGAATGCAAATCGGATCTCTTCCGTAGGCTCTAGCTATTTGCTGCGACGAGGTAAGGTCGTCTAACTATGATGATGTATTCATTTGCCCGATGTAGCTCGCTCTATATATATGCTGCTATGCGGGGGTGCTGTCAGGCCTGCCGACAGCTGGAAAAAGTGGTCGCCAGCCCACTGGGCGACCGTTGGAAACTCGTACGAATTTCTGGTCAATCGCCCTCAAATGGAAAGATATAAATTGAACAAAAGAAATGCACGGATGCAAACATGATAAACAAAAAGCCAAAATGAACGTCATGTACCCCTGATCGCGGGTGGGAGGCCCCGCCCACTTCACCACACCTAGGCTGCGGCATATCGTACGATAACGATAATGACCCGTTATCGTTATCCGCAAATTGCGGATTGCGGATAATGGATCATTATCATCATCGTCGTTGCAGATATCCGCGGATATCTATACGATAGTTTGGATATCAGCAAACTATCCGCACTAGCATAAAACTCGCTAATATATCCTATTCTGGACCATCAGGTGATACTTATGAAGCTGACCAAACGCTATCTTACATCTGAATCTTTACATGTTTGGTCATAACAGTACTCATCCCCTATTTCCTTCACTTCTCCTGGGTAATAATAAGAAACAGTATTGTATTCGTAAGTAAATGTCTTTGTCTTCTGCATACAAATTGGTTTTAACTATAAAGCGAGCGAGTTGTACTCGCCTGTAATTCTAAAATATTAATTAATGGGTGGTGGTTTGGCAGAGATATATGTTTGATGCCGAAGGAATGTAGTACATTTTCCTGTAAAGTCTTAATTCGATAAGTTATCCAGATCCACCAATAGTACAGTTTTGACCTTGAGAATAGTATGGATAGATTCGCTAGTTCGCAGTTCATTTATATGTTCATTTTACTCAGCATGTTTACACACAAAAGTAAGGCGCAATTTAGATTCGAAGTTTGGAACTGGCGGACTTGGCATTTCTTTTGGTGTTGGTGACACGCGGATAATTGTTGGATAATCCGAAGATAGTCGGCGGATTATCGGCGGATTATCCTCAATTATCGTCTGAGTCTCCACATCCGCTTAATACATACCCAATAGGCATCGAGTATTATCGTGAGCACGTCGACATCGCGGGCGCACACGTTTGCCTACGCACCAATTTTTCTGCTAAATTCCTGGTATACTCGATCGTTCTATACTTGGTACCTGGTCTTCTGCTCGTCATGTCTTATTCCCAAGTATCAAGGAGCCAATATGAGGCATCTCGGTACGCCAACTCATTCATTGATTCAGACTTTCCACAGTCAGATGAATCCTCAGACGCTCTAAGCAGTCAAAGCATAGCGCAATCGACTCCTGTCTCAGACACTCCCCCTCCCCCTCGATATCCTCGTGCCCCCGACTTACTACAGCGCGTCGGCAAACTCTTTCAACCATCTTATATTCTCTACAACTGCGACAAAACCGATCCAATGATGGAGACGTCTCGGATACAGTTTGTGAAATGGTGGCTAATGACTGAGTTTGGCAGCAAGAAAGAACTGCAGAAATCTATTAGATGGGATACTATACACAAAAAGTCTGATGTTTGGAGCTCATTTGATCAGGTTGCAAATGCGCGGACTGGCGAGCCTAAGGTTATGTGCAACCGCTGTCAAAGTGTGGTTGTTCACCCAAGGTTCAATCGTTCTGGTCCCTCTCCCATGAAGAACCATCTTAATAGTGCGTACTGCAATCAGCCGCGGAAGACTACAAAGCAAAGCATAGACCAGCTTCTCCGAGAGATGGTAAGTCTATCCTAGATCTAATCTATATTATACACTAATTTTCCTTATCTCTACCTAGCCGCGTCAATCAACAAGCACAGAATTCAGCCAGATAACCCTCCAGAAGAAGATCCTCAAGTTTATCACGACCACCCGTCTCCCATTCCGCACTGTTGAGCACCCAGAGTTCAAAGAGCTTCTGAAATACACCAGGCTCGCCAAATCAGAGCTCAATATCCCGTCCGCCCGCAGTTTGAAACGTCTTTTGGATAATGAAGTCCAGGAACAGCAACAGAGCGTGCTCAGTAAGCTTCCACCTGGAAGCTCTCTCTCTATTGCACTTGATTGCTGGACCTCTCCGTTTGGACAGGCATTTATGGCAATCACTGGATACTTCCTCGACCAGGACTGGAATTACTGTGAAGTTCTTCTTGGATTTGAGCATATCCAGGGATCACATACTGGGACTCAGCTAAGTGAGACTGTTATCCGAATCTTTCAAGAGCATGATATTACCGAACGAGTATTATCAATCACAACTGATAATGCATCAAATAACAACACAATGATTCAAGGCATTCAAGAGATGGTTCAGTCCCAGGCTCTTCACAATACCTCTGTTTTCCGAGTACCATGCATTGTGCACGTTATACAACTTAGCCTAAAAGACCTCCTTGGAAAGATCAAAGCGAACCCAAAGAATGCAGAGGCCGAGTCAGAGTGGTCAGATGAACGTACGAAGTCGCTACAGTCCGCTCCGGGTCACGCTTCAGGGAATATCGTGGCTACTTTGAAGAAGGTAAACGTATCATGTTATATTCCGAGGACATAATTGCTAAAATACTATAGATTCGAGAGCTCGCTGTATTCATTACCGCCAGTCCTCAGCGCCGAGAGGCTTTCCGGGCGCTTCAAACAACAGAGCCCAAGCTTCTACCGATTCAAGATGTTCGTACACGCTGGAATTCTACTTTCTTAATGCTCGAACGTGCCAAGAAACTACAGCGAGTCTTCAACCAGTACTGTTCAACCCACCAATACGTTCAGTTTCAGCTCGGTCAAGATGAATGGCGCCAAGTGGAGTATCTCCTTTTGGTCACAAAGCCTTTCTTTCATTACA